AGAGTCACTTTATAAACGTTTCAGATTGCCATTTTGAAAAACAACCACAGCATACAGAAACTTTCTAGACAACTGTGGGCACCATATTCCATCAGATCTGAATCCTTTAATCAGGTGTTCAAAATTCATCCCATGCAGTTCTTCCAATTGCAAACAAGGCTTTAGATACATGAACATTGTCATTACAGAAATGAGGTCTAGGCTGTTAATCAACCATGTGAGAAATCACATGTTCATTTGCTTCACAACCCTCTGATTCAAACCTGGAAACCGAACGACTATGTATACAAATGGCTTAGGTGTCATCGTTCAGCAATTGATACATAATCAAGAGTAGCCAAGTCCAAGGAACTCACTATGAACCAAGCTAGGAATTCAAAAGTTCAAGGTGAGAGAAAATAAATTTTTTGTAACATTTTCAAATGTAGATTTCAATTACAATTCACAGCTATTATTTCTGAAATATGTGTTTTTATGTATTGGTGATATAATAAATACTAATCACTGTGACACTTTCAAAACGTTTTCCCTCACTTCTTTATTTAGCAGTACACCAATGTTCTCAATTGAAGAAAAAAGATGGCCAAAAACTTGTCACTGAAAGGTAAAATTCATAAGTTCCAATTCACTCAAATAAAACGTAAACGACTTTATATCTACAACCAAAGAATGTCAACATACATAATATACTGAAACAGTAGTTTTTAAACATTGGAGATTTACATATGCACAATATAATTTCATTTTTGACACTTTAATTTTGATTTTTGTTGCATTTTCATAGGGTGTAGAAACAACAGGCTGGATTTATGTCGATAAGGTCCTGTTGTTGTATTCTCCACCCAAAATACCTGAAGAAATAATGCGTGAACTTCTACTCGCCTGTACTACGAAGTCACCTTTTCAACATATCAATGGTTCGCTATACCAGCAAGTCGATGGAGTTGCCATGGGCTCTCCTCTTGGAGTAACTTTCGCCAATTTTTACATGTGTCACATAGAAAACAAAGTGCTGCAGGACCACCACCCCGCACTGTACTGCAGATACGCCGACGACTGCTTCATCGTTACGAAGGACACTGATGAATTAATGAAGCTCCGACAAAAACTACAGGACAACTCTGTGCTTAAATTCACCCACAAAACCATCAATTTTCTGGATGTACATATCAACGCCAACAACAGCACATACGCCACATCTGTCTATCAAAAACCCACTAGCCAGGGAATCTACCTCAATGCTCGAAGTGAATGCCCTCAAA